ATTGCTTGATATTTAAAACCCCAAACAACAACATTTCATCACTATTTTCTTCATAAAGCACAATTGCATATTTGAACTGTTCACTTCTTAAAAACTGTTTTGAAAGCAACAAGTCCCTGAGGAATATTCGACCTTGGATTACTCCCAAGTATTACTTGTGACCGTGTGCGCTTGCACGAATCTCTAATCTTTTTAAAGGTAGAGAAAGTCCCAACAGAGTCACCCACCTTAGATAGAGGAAAGCCTGCCGAAGAATTAGAATCAATCCCTCTAACATCTAAAGAGCGACGAATCAATATTGGAATCAAGTTGGGGGTTGAGGAAAGAACTAGTCTCACTAATTTTCTCAGAAGCAACGCTGATGTATTCGCATGATCACATGAAGATATATATGCCAGGAATAGACCGAAAAATCAATGTGCACCGACTCAACATGGCTAGGAATGAAATCGTGGCTAAGCAAGTAGAATAGTTATTAAAAGCTAATTACAACAAAAAATATCAACTTTGGAGGCTATTTCATCGGTTGGCCCATAAGCAACAAAATCTTCAAAAATCAAACAACAAGTACTCTCAATATAGAAGTCTAACATTTTACCTGTGCTTATTGTCTTCTATTTTGAGAGTAGGAGAGTATTAAGAAAATACAAAATTAGACCCGACCGACGAACTACATAACTAGTCATGACCTAACCAAGGGCATGACCAGGTTTAGGCCAAGCAAATCTATGCTGACAAGGTGCTTCCGCCGACTAGATCTGATAACTGCACGACATCAGAAGTCAGCAGCGCACAACAATAGAAGCTACCTGGAAAGCTGACAAGGTCTCGAGAAATTGTGCTCAGTAATGAGAAGCCACTTAGCCGACACAAGTAGTAGAGAAAGCACAAGAGCTCAGCGAAAAATGAAAATATGTGATCCTGATAATGGATCAGGTAGATACACTGTTCGAGGAAAAGATAATCCCTCTGAAGTTCAAAATTCCCTGCAATCAGACAGTACGACGACTCAACAGATCCTACCGACCACCTGAATGCGTACAGAAAATGGATGGACATCTACGGAGTGACAAAGGTTATCAGGGCCAAGGTGTTTTCATTCAGGATAACTAGCACGACCCAAGTTTGGTTTCGACAATTGAGGATAAAATCAACTTTCTTCTTCAAATAATTGACTAGAGTATTTGGAGGAATAAATAAGAGTCGACATGTGGCCAACTTTCTTATCATAAAGCATAAATCAATTAAGAACCTAAAAAAATATGTGGCATGCTTCAACGAGAATCTTTAGAGAGGAATACCCCAACGATCCCACTCTAGTAGATCTTGATAAAAGACAAGGAGCTACCCAGATGGCCTGAAAAGATGTTGATGTCATTTCACAAGAAACTAAAGGAAGATATTGCCTCTTTCGTAGGCATCCGAGCGAACCACAAGTGGAGCAGGACCTACCATCATTGATTCACAAATCATGTGAAAGGTAAACGTTTCGACTAACGAACATGTAGCTAAATTGACTAAATAAACCCCAAATTGGGGATAGAAGAAGGCGACATAAAAAAGAACAACAATGCTTGAAGGTGATGAATCGTTAAATAAAAATCTAAGCATGTTGTTTATTTGATTTGTGATCGACTTTCTAGTAATGTTCTATTCTACTGTGTGATGTTTTAGTTTAAATATTTAGTTATTTCATATGTTTTATACTTGAGAAAATTTTTGTTTTATACCTTAAAACCAAACGTCCTAAAGTGGGGGCCAAATGAGTAACAATGGTCAAGGAACTCGAACTGTGACAGACCTAAAAGTACGCCGATAACTAGAAGCCAGTCAGTGAAACCGGGAAAGAGAATCCCAAAGGTGTTGAAAAATGCATGCGTACAGGCCCAACAAGGTTGAAACAGAAAGTAGGCAAGCCAAACCAATCAATGAAAACCAAGGTATAAAACCATTTAGCAAAAGCCAAAATAGGTTAGAAACTTAAGGGTGTTGATTAAACTCAGGGTAAAAAATCGACTAAGCCAAATAGGTTAGAAACCCAAAGGTGTCGACTCAACTCAGGGTATAAAACTATTGGCGAAAGCAAAACAGATTAGAAACCCAAGAGTAAACCCTGGGATATAAAACCACGGGCAAAATCCAAACCAGTTAGAAACCCAAAGGTGGTACAACTAGCCCAACTAAAAGTTAGATCCCAAGGCAAAAACCTAAACAGTTAAAACTAACTGTACGGTAGAGCCTAAGAGACTTGGCTACAGCTAACTACGACAAGAGTATGAGGGCTAAAAAGGCCAGCCCGAGAAACGACAACCAACAGCGACAAAAAGGTATGAGGGCTATTCCACAAAAATAATATTCATGAAACGACCAAGCGCCAAATACTCTCAATATAGACGTCCTAGCATTTTGCTCATATTTATTGCCTTCTACATTAAGAGTTAGGGCTATTGTTATAGATCAGATTGGACGAGCAGAAGACAAAAGTTGGACCAGAGGAGGAGCGGGCTCACAAGGTAAGGAGGCTGAAACCCAGTGACCCGAGCCGGCCATAGCCGACCCGAGGTTGGCTGAGTAGTGTTCGGTGCCGACCAGGCCTCAACGTCGACACCTTCTCGGTGCCGAGGAGTTCTCGGCCCCCCGACACTTTATACTCGACTAGAGGTATGCTCACAATACCTGACACTTTATACTCAACTACTCCGATCCTAACTTAAGCATCGGAGCCCATGTGGCAAGAGCCACACCGGTCTAAGTGCTATTCTATTTTATAGGTCTCGTCAATCCCTTTATTCTAGAAGATTGGTGCAAATATTGGCGGAATCCTAAGAAGCCAAATTTTTGCATCAACACCTCCACTTAAAACGAAGCGTTTCGCTCACCCAATGAAAATAGCATCRGTTGCAACTTGTCTGCATTGTTGAAATTTGAAGTTTATGTTAGTTTTGCTCCAAAAAGTTTTTAATTTCATACTTTATACATCGTTAATGTGTTCTACTACCTTGTGCTCTATCTTCTTCATTTCAGCTTGATCTGTATGTATCTTGCCCTAGAGAAAAACTTTAATTGGATCCATCCAGGTTCGGACTTGGGTTTCAACATCCATTACTTCAAGCTCGAGAATGGAGGGCCAATTGAGGATCTCCATCGGGACCGACCTCGCCAAATTAGTTTCATATTCATATGCAAGCTTAGCTAGGGCATCCGTATTTGATTTCTTAGATCGGGCACCTGTCAGCTAGTGTATTCCTTGAACTGAGCGAAGAGCTATTTGGTCTTTGATATGATCATATTTGGCAACAAGTCCTTGGAACTACATCACTATAAGAGGATAG